CCCCGCTTCTTTGCTTGTTTGCTTGCCTTAAGAACAAAATTCGCTCTCAGTTTGGGCTCCTGAGCCGCTTTTCTTTATATTGGACACTCCCTGTTCCCTGGGTCCATTTAGCTTATAATTTCTTCAGGCTAAAACAACTTGGAGCCCATTTTAAACAATCGCCTTAATCTTCTGTGCCTTGGTAAGCCCATCAGGCTACTACTTGTCAACAGGGTGCGTGGTCATGCTCAGTGTCTGGCAGCTGACTGAGGAAGCTACGACGCACCCCAGGCTCTCTTCCCAAGTTGGTCAGTTCTGGATTTTGCAGTAGGTGGACGAAGGCTGGAGTTTGAGATGCTGCAGTTCTCCGTACATGGGCTCTTCAGATCTAGATTTTAGAATTCATGAGAAGAGGTGACAAGATCGCTGTGGTCCCAAGCCAAGGAGAAATCCTGTCCCGTTGGGAAGCCGCGTCCTTCAGCCCTTGAATATCCCATCATCAAATATCAGGAGGCAGTGAACAAACATTGAAGTCCTTTCAAAGGGTGCCAAGGCATCTTTTTTGTTCCAAGGCATCTATCTCCTGCTTCCCTGTGTGGAGGCTGCCTTTAGAAAGTTCTACTCCACAACGGTTTGAGCGAGAACTGGCCTCCAGGTGGCGCTTCAGCACAGAGAATGGCAGCTGACGGCGTTACCCAGGCCACCATTGCTCAGGGATGCCCTTACGTAAGGGGATTCACGGGAAATTCGGCTTCTCGGCTTGCACAATGGAGGAAAGGCCTGGTCTTTGTCATGGCTCAGACTGTGACTCTAAATCTACCCAGGGTGGTACAAGGCTCCAAAAGTTCTAGGCCGCTGCCGGGACGAAGCTCAGAGCAGCTCGGCCTGTTGGGAGGGAAGAGGCTATAGCTCGGGTTTTGTCCTCCGATGCTGCAGGCCTTGCTCTGGGCTCCCAGCCCATGGCTGAGCGCTCAGCTCGGCCGGGCCAGCGGAGGCCTGCAGGCAAAGCGGACTGCTCCGAGGCTGCAGTCCTTTCCCTTGGCCTTCCGCCTCGTCTCCTCTCTCTTTTCCCCTCCCCCTCCCTCCACAGCCCATTCTCACCTTATGCTATTTACAAATCGATTTCCCGGTGTGATCTCATTTGCAGCTCCCACTCCCGGGATAGAGGGACAGATTGGGGCCATCTCTCAGTCCCTACTCTCTGAAAGACGTCTTTGAGAAGGTCTCCTTCTATGCCTCTCACCGCTAGCAAATACTGAGCAGCGCGGGCAAATATTGATTTCGACTTGGTAGTTTCAGAGCTTGGCACCGAGGAGGGCTCGAAACTATCTACAGCATGAACAAGCATTTACAGATGAAGAGTTGGATGGAGGAGCTGATCGGCGGACTGTTTGCTAGAAGTCAGGGCTTCAGACACCTAGGACCGGTAGCAAGGCTCCACTAGCGCTAATTACAGCACACGGCTTTTCAGGCAGAAGCACAGTACGGTAGGAACATAAAGGACCGGTACAGATTCGTCTCAGGGCCTGCAGACATCATGACTCCAGGTTGGGCACTGGGGCGCCTGTCTCTAAGGGGACACGTGACAATACAGATGACACGGAATGAGTGGTATTTTTGAGGCCCTGTTTAAAGCATGAATAGGCACTCTGACCCTACTTATCAAAAGCCTTATGACGTCATTGAGGATGCCCTGGAGGGGCAAGTGTACCTGTAACTTTTATCCTACCCCGTTGGATCAGGGTCCAGCTCTTTGGTTTTTGTTTGGAGGGCATGTTTCAGGTCGTGTGGAACTTGAGGGAGGCGGGGTTCCAGTCCCAGCCCTACCTCCTACTCGCTGTCTGGTCGGCCTTGGGTGGCACAAACATTTCAGGGGCTAATACCCAGAAAAATGAGTGTGTGTATGCTTAAGAGTGGAGATGTTATGGGCCGTGGTGGCGCATGCCTTTAATCTCAGCACTCGGGAGGCAGAGGCAGGCGGATCTCTGTGAGTATGAGGCCAGCCTGGTCTATGAGAGCTAGTTCCAGGACAGGCTCCAAAGCTACAGAGAAACCCTGTCTCGAAAAAGTGCTTACAACTGAGAGGTCCCCGCCCTGCCTCAGCTGTCTCTCGGTAGTTATTCTGTACTTAAGAACAGGTTTGGAGTGGGGTAGAATTTCCTCAATTGCCGAACTCTCACCTCCTTTATTCAGTTACAGCTTTTTGACAGGGTTTCTCTGGGTAGTCCTGGCTGTCCTGGAATTTGTCCGAGACCAAGCTGGCCTCAAACACATGGAGATCTGCCTGCCCCTGCCTCTCAAGTGCTGGGATTAAAGGCGTGCACCTCTACCTCCTGACCCAGTTATAACTTCCTAGTGCTCTAAACAGCAGAGGAAACACCTTGAAATGCACTGGCTTCATGTTGTTCTTCTGCTGGAGGAACTGACATCTTCATCTTCAGACTCTCCAGGGGCTCCATTCAGAGTTCAGAGGCTCTTGTCTCTACACAGAGCCTCTACACCGTGTAGCACGTGGAAGCTGTCAGTACTTAGGCATGACCGACAGGAAGGAAGGGACCTTACACAGATGACAACACTAATTAGCCCACAAGAGTTTATCTGGACAAGCTCCTACAGGATGCAAAGCTATGCCTTAAGTCTTCTGACTAAGCGTGGGAATGTGATCAGCTTGAAACAGAAAGGGGGTGGGTAGGAGAGAAGAAACCAGAGCTTCCCGCTATCTGCCGGAGGCATCACTTTTCCATTGCACAGGGCTCCGTCTCTCAGGCCAGGCTGAAAACCTTGCCCCTGCCCTGGGGCACTGAAGGTGGCTCCAGTTGCTGTGTGCCCAGGAGTCGTGTTCTGTGGGGGAATTTATTTTGTAGCCTCTTCGATTGATACCTCTCTTTATGGCTCAAGACCAGCCAGCTTGTTGGGCGTATGTGTAGGCCTGAGGAGGAGAAAAGCGGAGTTGGGGTGACTAATCTTCACAAGGTTACCCTGCTTCCCCAGGGTCTTACATAGCTCAGGCTGATGGGGACCTTGCTTGTAGCTGAAGATGACTTGAACTGTTCTTCCACTGTTACTCCCGGGGCTGGGGGTCCAGGTGTGAACCACCACACAAACCAAGTGGTGCTGAGGATCGAACCCAGGACTTTGCGCATGCTAGGCAGGCATTCTACTATCTGAGCCACAGTTTTAGCACTCTTTTCTTTCTTTTTTTATAACTTATTTTTATTTTATGTGCAAGTATGCCTGTGTGAGGTTGTCAGATCCCCTGGTAGGGGAATTACAAACAAGTGTGAGCTGCCATGTGGGTGCTGGGAATTGAACTCAGGACCTCTGGAAGAGCAGGCAATGCTCTTAACCACTGAGCCATCTCTCCAGCCCCTCCAGGGTAGTTCTTAATGGAAGCTTTTCTCACTGTAACTGTCTTATTCCAATTCTCAGGCCAAATAAGGCTTCTGAAAGAGCCCACCCGCAGTCCAGATTGTCCAGCCGGAAAGGCTCAGAGCAGACAGAATGTAACTGGATGCTCCTCTAGTTTAGGGGACCATGGGGAGGTGAAATTAAAGCTCTTGGAGCTTGCCTAGCAAACACATTTGCCATTAAGCAGCTGGGCTGCTGATGGTAAGCAGGAAGGCATGTCTCAGGCACCTGTGCACGCTGACTGACGGACGTAACCTTTCTGGGAAATCGCATTGAGAAGGAGTCTGAGTGTGTGTGTCACCTGACACCCAGGGGCAAGTGCTCTGACAACCATGTCTGTCCCAGGTGCAGCATGGGGATCCGTCCCAGGAGTGGTGGCTGTGTCCCTGTTCTGGCTGCTGATGAGAACAGGAAGTTGTTTATTTGGAAGTGGGGAAAATAAAGATGTTTGACTGGTCAAACATGCTCATTTCATTAGCTCACAAAGGGCACTGAGCAGCAGCACAGGAAGGTAGGCTCTGGCTAGGTAGAGGAATATTCGTGCTCCGGGTCCCTGCAAACTTGTCCATATAAAAAAACACTCAGGCGGCAAAGACAAGCGAGATGCTTGCTCTGGGCTGGGGGTTAAAACCCAGGCAGACCCTAGAAGAGAGAGAGAAGCCATCAGTAAGTAGATGCAAGGGCAGGGAGAGTTTTCCACCTGAGCTCTGTGCATCACTCAGCACCCCTGACATGTTGTAGCATCCCTGACAACATTTCCGTAAATGTTTTGCCATGAGAATCAGGCAGTGATGGGGGTTTCAGCAACCGAGGGAATCCTGTGAAAAGAATTCAACAGAGCTTACTGAGCCCAAAGTGGGTTATTTATTATTCATTGGAAGCTATTAACGGTACAATAAAAATCACAGTTATATTTTCATACTATACAATAGCCCTTATTCACGTCCCCTCAAAGCGATGATTAGCCTGAAGGAGGTATAGAAGAGTCACGTGCTGAGGCTCAAGTTCTGAAAGGCCTTGAATGACAGGGGAGGAGTCTGGTCTTGGTTGGGAGGTAGAGAACTTGTGGGCAGAGGTGATGAAATGAAGGCTGGCTTAGGAAAATTGCTGTGGGGACTGTGAAGGAGAAGCTGAAAGCAGGAGAAACTGGAGGTCAGAAGTGGAGTGTCTTAGTGCTCTATTGCTGTGAGGAGACACCATGACCATGGCAACTCTTATAAAAGAAAAACATTTAATTGGGGTGGCTAACATTTACATCAGAGATTTAGCGCAGTCTCATCTTGATGGAACATGGTGGCTTGCAGACAGACATGATGCTGGAGCAGTGGTTGAGTGTCCTACATCTTGGCTTGCAGGCAACAGGAAGTGGTCTGAAACACTGGGTGCAGCTTGAGCATATATGAGATCTCAAAGTCTGCTTCCACAGTGACACACTTCCTCCAACAAGACCACACCTGCTCCAAGAAGGTCACACCTTCTAATAGTGCCACCTCTTTTGGGGGTCATTTTCTTTCAAACCACCACAAAGAGTAAGGAACTGTTGTGTGGTCCAAGTAAGAGGTATTAGCAGGACTGGGGATGTAGCACAATGGGTAGAATGCTTCCTAGCATGTGTGAAGTCCTGGGTTCATCCCCTAGTGATACTTAAATCCATGCGTGGTGGCACATGTACTAGGCAATCCCAGCACTAGGGAGGTAGAGGCAGGAGGATCAGAAGTTTTGGGTCATTTAGGTATGTAGGGAGCTCAAGGCTAGTCTAAGTTATTTGAAACACTTAAAATATATCAAAGAAAATAAATGGACATAAGAGATATTAACAGTGTCATTGAGAGCAGTTACAATAGAAATAGAAAAAAGGGCTCACAGTCAAGAGGTACTTGCCAGTGTCTTCAAGAGCTTTCAGGCCACTGAAACGGGGACTCTGGGGATAGGTACCAGCTTTCTCCACAGCATTTAGAACAAAAGCTTCAGAGAGAGAGGCAAATTGATGAACTGAGGTGTTTGAGGAGATAGTGAGAGCGACTTCTTCCCATGCTGGGAATGATTAAAGCGTAGAAAAGCTACCCAGGACATCAGCGGGCCCTTCACAGGCAAGTGGCCATCCATCCTCCCTGGACCACAAGGCAGACACTCAAAGCCGCTCTCTGCTAGATGAGAACATCATCACTTTTCTTAGAAATCTGAATACTGAAGGCGGCCTTGGAACATTTCTAGTCAGTGGCTTTCAAACCTGACCTAATAGGATTTAGTGGATGAATGGCAGCTACGCATCCATGAGGTATGGGATTCAGTCCCCAGCACCCAACACAGACAGCATCCCTCACGCACATACAGCACCTGAACACCACACCACAAACCTCTGGGGGGCTTGACGAGATGCTGATGTTCCAGAGAACCGGATTTGAGCAGGGAACCCACATTTTGCGGTATCCTGAGGTGTTCAGAAGGCAGGACTACGTCTAGGTATCCTATTAACTCCTGACTTTATTTCACAAGTGAACAAGCTGAGGGCCAGAGGGGAACGTGGTCTGACTTAAGGTCACACTGACAAAGGTCTCAGGAGCAGAGCTTGGGTCAGAGCCTCATGCTTAAGGCTCCTCAGACACACTGCAAACCAACGGCTGGTTCCATGCTTGGGTCTTGGTTGAGGGGCACATACATGGTGGCAAAAAGGCTTGGAAACTGTCCCTCACCCCACTAGGAAGACCCGAGAGGAGCCGGAGAGTGGCTAGGGAATGGTAATGATAGCAGCTAGTGAGTACTGAGCACCAAGACTTCTGCCACACCGTGGTCTCCTGTGTGGCTTTGCCCTGATGTCAGCTTTGTTCCATGTACCCAGAAGGAACCTCTTCCCTCTAGTCTCTCTAGCAGCCATCATATGGGGACTGGGGTGTCTGGTACCAGGGGTTCCTCAGTGCCAAGTCCCATTTGGCTTCTTTCTGGGTCTCAAAACTGGGTTCTCTGTGAGAGCAGCAAACGTTCTAAACCATTGAACCGTCTCTCCAGCCCCAGGGACAGGTTTTCTAATCCTCCCCTTCATTCATACTTTAACAGACCAGTAGCTAGTATAGCTGTCACATTCTCTGTACATATCACATATGAACTTGTTCCATAATCTCAGGGGCTATAGCATTACACATAACATTTTACAGGTGAGCTGGTTAGTTTTGTCGAACTAGTCACAAACTGAGTTACCTGAGAAGA